AGGGACAAGCGCCCCGCCACTCAGGCAGCGCTTCCAGGGCCGGCACAGGCAGCACCAGGCACACGCGTGCCCCGCCAGGCTGAGACCTGGAGCACTCATCGCATGCCAGCCAGCCGAGACGCACCGTCCCCGCGGTGGTTAGCTCCAGCTCCCGCTGCAGGTCCTGCTCCGCTCCCCGCTGCCGCTGCAGAGCCTCCATTTTCCTCCGCAGCTCGAGGTAGAGATTGCGATAGATCTCCTCCTCCTAAGGGCATCCCGGCAGAGAGGAGGGGGCTTTGCACCAGCCCCGCTCCACCCTGCGGTCCAGCGAGAGCTATCTGGCTGTGACACCTCCCGTGCCCCCCTCCCCACGCGTGCCAAGGATGTTTCCCCGCACAAAGGATTCCAATCCAGCAAACTCAGCAGGTTAAGCCGGGCGCGATAACGCAGCTGGAGCAGCACCGGGCGCATGATGCCACGCGCCGCGCCGCAGCAGATCCGCTTTACTTCCACTCCGCCGGGCTGCGGTCCAGCCGGGGCCCCAGTCAGCTGGTGGCACATGGGCACCATCCTGGCACCGAGGCCACGGAAAATGGGGTGGCATCACCCCAGCAAGGGCTCTTACCCCTTTGGGGTGGGTGACATCTGTCTGTGTGAGCACGTCCCTCTGCTCGGCCGGCCCCACGCCAGGCAGCAGCCGCTGGCTTTCCTGCCAGTCACGCAGCTGGAGCGAGAGGGCTTCGATGATGATGAGGGTGCTCTCCAGCCGCCCCTCCAGCTCTGCCCGTGGCAGGGACTTCAGCTGCTCCCGGGGACAGCTGGGGACAGAGAGAGGGCTTGGGGCAGGGACAGCCCATGGGTGCCACAGCCCCATCTGGAGGTGGACATCCCCACACTTACTGCCAAAGCAGGGAGTCTGTTTCGGCAGCGCTGTCCTTGGCACAGGGGAAACTGCCCGCAGATGTGTTCATGCTCCTCTCCCGCAGATCCCGGGGGGTCATGAAGGTGCCGGTGACTGCGGTAGGCACGGGGGTGACGCTGGTGCCAGTGGCCGCGGTGGGCACGGGGGTGACGCTGGTGCCAGTGGCCGCGGTGGGCACG